GAGTACTATGACAACAGTGTAATATCATAATCTTCATCTAACGTGCCGCTTAGACATACGAAAAGTTACACAGTTAGTACGTATGAAAAGTTGAGTTGTCGACTCGACGACTGACGTCGACTGTGTACCAAACATTGTTTCGTGCAACTAGATGTATTATGATGATGTGACTCGTGTTTCCAAGCACTTGTGGCTAATATATTTTTTTCTAAGCACGCAACCATACTCGCTAGTAGCTCGAGATCTACAACCATGTGGAAAGACTGTAGCTGTTCGCCATGCACAAAAAGCACTGGCAGCTTATATTATTATTATACAGTGTAGTACATCGACGTACACATGGAACAAGTTTATCGTTCTAATGTCATTATTTGCTGTTTGTTTCTAGTTATATATATACAAGTCTGACGTGCTGGCAACGGTGTACATACCATGGTTTGTATAATTTGTTGCACAGAGCTTGTACCAAAAATGGGCTTTGCCGTAACGTAAATTCGCTCCGAGGCCAAGCCAAGTTACGAGTGGTGTGGCATTAACAAATGTTTTGCAACTCGAGACTCGAAGTGAGAAGGATGAGACTGAAATACTAGATCTATCGAGTGAGAGATGATCAGGCGAGATAAATAGTGGGGGACGACAGGACCGAGTGATGAAAGAGGGGTAAGTGCCTAATGAACCGACAGTGGAGAGATGCCATGCCACTAAGTAGAGTTTGTTTTTATTCCATATTCTCACATGCATGCATGTAGCAAATCGAGAGATGCCATGCCACTAAGTAGAAACAATAGCAGCAGATCACTGTCCACACGAGACACGACACGCTAACCGCTGGATGAAGACAAATACTACTTGCACGTGCGCGCATGCATGTGAACCCAGCAGGCCAGCTTTATTATTTTGCGGTTGTTCCGGCCGGGGCTCGTCCTGTGCGATTACTGAAAAGTTTTTTCTTTTGTGAATAGATTATATAGTTAATTTCCTTCCGCGATGTTTTCTCCATGGACGACCGAGTAGCATTATATAGTTAATTTTTATATCAAGTTATGCGACCCTGCCCATGAACAAGACTGACAAACAAAAAGTTTGCGGCTATACAATGGATCAATCAATTTTAGGTGACATGAACAGATAGGGATAAGCACCTCAAAAACCAACTGGCCAGACAGGCATGCACCGGAATTATTGAGCCAGCAGCCCCGATGGACAAAAGTCTCCAATGGCGTGCCTAGTACAATCAGAAACAGTGGATCAGAGAGCTGCTGCCATTGCTCATAATATAATGGAATAAATAGAAGGACCATCTGGTGGTTGAAGGAGGCTCCACGTTCATGGAACTATCCAACTAAATATCAAAATGTGTGCTTAATATATAGGAGTACTTTGTTAACTAGGACAGCAGAGCAAGGCTAATAATATAGCCAGCTTGCTAGGTTCTTTATAGCCTTCTCTTAGCCCACTCATATAGTAGTTAGCTCTTCACTATTAATACATGATCCACTCGTCTCTCTTATAAAGTTTTTTTTTTGTTCTTGTGCCTAAGCCGGCTGTAAGCTTACAGTCCGCTTCTCCTCTCTCCTTCACCTCAGCATTTAGCCAGCTTACAGCCTACTATTATACTTGCTCTCAGCCATGCTTTGCGCGGCCTATAATCTTATATAAGACATAAGTATCAGAGTTCATATTATAACTATAACTAATAAAAATATGTATATTAATTAGCATGCTTTTTCGTTCTGTTCATTTTCTAACTCAACATGTGTATAGATACTATGTGATTTCTCTTCAATTGTGATAAACCTATCAATTATTGATCCATATGTTTTGTCTTCCATATACATAGTTCTTCCCCTCAACATGACACCTCAGTGTATCTTCAATATCTATTTAGTTAAAACTTTCATTTTAGTTATAGTGGAACTACTTGTTGCATCCTATGCCTAGATTTTAATTGTCAAATTTCAAATAACTAGAGATTTTAATTATTACTAGAGTTTTTTATCATCAAGTTAATTTCAAACCCAGTTCATAACACCAGAGGTTGGTAATTATTTAGAAAACAATACTGATCCAACACTTATTATTATAAATGATGATTAAGAGTGTACTTCCTTGATTTTCTGTTTTTGAGGTTACATATGTTATAAAAAAAATATGCCTACATGAGGACTAATATATTATAAAAAACCTATGTCTATACGAGAACCAAGATGTGATAGACATATGATAGGATAGAGAAGATAGGTGACAGGACACAAAACCTATTCTAAGAAACCCTAGATTTTCTTCCATTATTGATTTCACACAGTCCTTTCATGTACCTCCACCAGCGTCGGCCCCACGTCTACCCTCGAGGAACGCAGAGAAAGCAGTTCTCGGCTGGTGAAAGAATTTGGTATGAATTTCTATAAATTTGGTCAAACATAAGAAAAATCTAACTTCTCAAACTAGTGAAAACAAAGCAGAGCAGAGTAGGGTACGTAAATTGAGAGATGCCACTGGTGAAAACAATCGTCCTGTTTATTTGGCTGATAAGCCATGGCTGAAACTATTATTGGTTGATTTGTTGTGAGAGAAAAATACTGTACGTTTGCTGAAAAAATACGGCTTCGAGCCAACAGGGCGAATAGCAGCGGATCACCGTGCACAAGACACGTGAAATGCTGGATCGATGAAGACAAACACTACAGGTGCGTGCATGTGACCCCAGGCCCAGCAGGCCAGCTTCATTACTTTGTGGTAGTTCCGGCGCTCGGCCTGTGTAGATTACTGATTTTTTTTTTCTTTGCTCAATCAATGATGATGCTGAGCTCTATCCATCTCGCTGTATATATTCTCAAAGTCACAACTCGTCCTCTATACGCATGTATGCCTGCGTAGTGTATAGTGCCTACGTACACAAGTCAGCATTTTTTTCCTTTATTAATTTGCCTTCCTCTTTATTCGCACGCCCCCCTTTCTGATCAGCTGATTCTTTCTCAGAAAGCACACGAGCTAAACTGCAGATTCGATCTGCACTCCAGCCGGCGTCGGTGCGCGTGTGTCCACTATTTAATCTCTCCTTTTTTTTTCTCGAATATGCAAAACGTTTGTGTATCTCTGCATTAGGAGAAAGTTTGTTGTGATACAACAATGCGCCCTATGAAAGTTGCACTAGGGGGGTAAAGGATTATAGTGAAGGCTCGTCCCACCCTAGCAAAACAAGAAATGACTACACTATTACTCGCTAATAAACGATCTAAATTGGTAGCCCCAGTTTCGATCCATTGACCCGCAGCGTGCCGAATGGTTGCGAGTAGATGCTGGAGCGAGGTTGAAGATCCACGGAAAGCACCATTCATAAGTTCCTAGGCTACCAACGTAAACAGGGAGTCGGCCCCACGTCTGCCCTCCAGGAACGCAGAGAAAGCAGTTCTCGGCTGCCGAAAGAATTTGGTGTGAATTTCTATAAATTTGGTCAAACATACAAAAAAAATCTAACTTCTCAAGCTAGGGCTCTGTTTGGCACAGTTCAGCTTCACTAGCGAAACTGTCATTTTCGTTTCAGCTTCATGAGCAGCTTTCTTGGCGGAGAAAATTCCCTATTTAAAATCAAAAGATCACATGGTTTCTTTATTTAGCATCAAAAGATAAAATTTTCCCAATATAGTATTGGGTTCATTTTTGGTTCCCTATATAGCACTTCTGTTATATTTGGCCTCTAACACCATCAGCTATCAGTGGAAAAAGACCGTTTTACCACTTTTTGATCTTGGTATATAAATGGTAGAGGTGTGTACTTAGATGCAAATTTAGGATATTAGTTTATGTTTTTGCTATTGGAAACAATGGGTAAATATTTTGAAAATAGAATAGATCGCACGACTATTATTGATGATCGTGATTGCAATCTACCAAATTAATTGATTTTTTTTGTTATTGTAAGAATTTATATTTTAAACATCTGGTACTATAGCCTTTGCTGGAGACCTGTCGTTAGTAAAATATTAAATTAAATCATCAACTGGATCATTATTGCTCGACTTTACAAGGCCGAAACAACATATCATGGCGGGGTTGTCCTCTGCCTTTTCAACCTCTGCGGCAACACCATATCCTCTGCTTTGCCGCATGCGCTGCACCTATATATATATATACATGATATATATATAGGTCCTCTGCTTTCTGACGGAGCAACACTGTTCGTATGTAGTATTTATGCATGCATGGTGGCAAGTTGGTGGCGCCATCCACAAGGAATGGATTCGAACAAAACATGCCAGCCTATGTATGTATGCTTTATAATTCGAGATATTCTCCATGTAGCGGATCACCGTGCACACGACACGTGAAATGCTGGATCGATGAAGACAAACACTACATGTGCGTGCATGTGACCCCAGCAGGCCAGCTTCATTACTTTGTGGTAGTTCCGACGCTCGGCCTGTGTAGATTACTGATTTTTTTTCTTTTGTGAATAGATTAGTGAAGACTTAATTAAGCGGGCATGCATGTGATTCCAAATCTTTTAACGGCGTTGTTATATTCAGCATGTTTACTTGTTGGTTTTAGCCAGCGCTTATCAGCCAGCCAACAATGTTTTTCTTTCACAACAAACCAGCACCAGCTGGGCTTATCAGCCCAGAAACCAACCAGCGAACAGGCCGATTACGTCGATGAACGAGAAATATACAAAGGACCTTTCTCAGTCAACTTGGTACTCCTCTACTCCATTCTCCCAGCTCTACTCCTATACATGGAGAATCGCTTCCTGCTGGACTTGGATCATCCGTTCACGCATTCTCTTTTCCACACTTTCATTCGGCAAAGAGCCCTGCAATAAGAAGTTGAGGTGAGCACTTTCCTTCGGCAATGTTTTGTCCACCTTCATTCCATGCACTACCGAGTACGTAGCATTATATAGTTAATTTTTATACCATGTTATGTGCTCTTTAGGGATAATTGATGCAAATATGTGCTTATATATGTATGATCTACTACTAGCAGGTAGATAGGCTTGAGCCATGGCGGCCGCCCTGGATGCTTTAGCACCCTACGTGAAGAAGCTTATCGCGGACATGGCACAAGAAGAGGTGGCCATGCAGCTTGGTGTCTCCAGCGAGATCACCAAGCTGGAGGACAACATGGAAGGCCTCAAAGCCTTCCTCAAAGATGCCGAGAGCAGGCGCATCACCGACACGAGCGTGCAAAGATGGTCGACAAAGCTCAAGAACGCCTTGTATGATGCCACTGACATCCTCGAGCTGTGCCAGCTCGAGGCTGACAAACGGAGGGAGTCTAGAGGTGGTGGCAATGTGGAGCATAAGTCGCCCGGCTGCTTCCAGCCATTGCTCTTCTGCCTGCAGAATCCCGTGTTCGCACACAAGATAGGCAGCCGCATCAAGGAGCTCAACCAGAGGCTGGAAGTCATCCACAAGGAGGCGGACAAGTACAAGTTCAATATTGGCCTCGGTTCCAACCCCGAGCCAAGGAAGCTAACTGCTGCTGAGTTATCCAGCTATAGGACAAGTTCACTTGTCGATGAGTCAGCCATAGTTGGAGAACAGATAGAGAGGGATACAAGGGAGCTCATTCACTTGCTAACCTCAAGTGATAATAATCACAACATCAAAGTTGTGTCTATAATTGGTGTTGGTGGCATGGGAAAGACTACTCTTGCTCAGAAGATCTTCAATGATGCAACCATCCAAGAGCACTTCAAGACAAAGACGATATGGCTAAGCATCACTCAACAGTTTGACGATGTTGAGCTATTGAGGACAGCAATCAAGCATGCTGGAGGCGACCATGGTGCTGAGAAGGACAAAAACACTCTGACGGAGACCCTATTCCACACCCTGTCCAATGGAAGGTTTCTGCTGGTGATGGATGACGTGTGGAGCCAGAAAGTGTGGAACAATGTGCTTAGTGTCCCAGTCAGAAATGCTAGCAAGAAACAACCTGGAAGCAGGGTCCTTGTCACCACAAGATCTGCACACCTACCCCAACAGATGCAAGCCCCCCTGCACCAACACCGTGTCAAGCCTCTAGAGAATGATGATGCTTGGTCTTTGCTCAAGAAGCAGCTGCAGCCTGATCAGGTTAGTTGTCTATCCATACTTTATACAACTAGGCTATATACTTGATTTTGATAGAAAGAATATGGATCGGAGTTCCATTAAATCTAAGCATTCGTACTAGGAATACCAGCTTATGAGAGTAGCAAAAGGAGACCAGTAAAACTATGATCTAGAAGAAATAATCAAATGTAACAACAAAACACTAGGATCAAGTTAGCTATCATTCACTCCAATGAAAGATTTAGTGCATGGCTAGTTCTGTATGAAATCTAGCTATTTAAAATTTGATGGTATTTGAAATGTAACATCAATTATAGTGGAAGTTAATAGTGACCAAAAGACCCCTGACTATTACAGTGCAACAATTAATAGTTATCTAAAAAATTCATAACTTTTGCATATGAAGTCGTATGAACATAAACTTTAAATATAATCAAAATTGTAGAGCTCAATAATATCTATAGCTTTGTAATTGACAAATTCTTTGTTTCAAACTATTTAGGTTGCCAAAACTTCCTTTGAAATTATCAAATTTTGACAAAATCTATAAATATAAATGATCTCAGATATTGACATGGTATATACAAAATTTGTAGTTATCAGTAGGATCTAAACTTTGTAGATGATAATTTTTTTATCTGAAGTAATATAGAGTCTCTTCTTCAATTTTGAAATCCAAAATTTAGGAATTTCAAATTACTTCGAACATTGGAACAAACGTTTTAAAGTGTTAAATTTCAAATTTAAAAATATAAAATAACAAAATGAATATTCAGCATTCTAAATGACTTAAGATATTCTAACGTTGAATTTAATATTTGGGAATTTGATTTCATACTATAAATAATATTCAATCCAAAACTTGTCAACAACAAAATTATAGATCTCACTAAGCACTACAATTTTGATATAAAGTTCGTCTTCATCCAACTTTATATGCAATTATGAATTTTTGGATAACTATTAAAGATTTGTATTATAATAATCAGGTGCATTTTGGTCACTTTTAACTTCTCTCTCCAAAGTAGTCCTTAGAAATATTATTTTAATAGCTACATTGTCTAAGAACCAATTACCAGCATTGAAAACTACTTTGTAGCCATGACAACAGTGAGCAGTGTCCCTTAGCAAAGACCACCATTGAAGAGTGCCCTACCGCAAATCTTTACAATATGGCACACTTTTAATATGTTGGCCAATCTAAGTGTCCTGGTCATATAGAAGAAACATGGTCAAATTACACTTGAGCGGGCGGAGCCTCCTTGAGTGGGCGGAGCTCACTATAGCAGTCGGCGACGTAGGCCAGGCTCCCAAAGTTGAGGACCTGGCCCAGAGCGAAGGTGCTAGCCATGACGGAGAACTCACCGGGGAAGCGGAAGCCACCGTCTAGGGCGGCGCCGCTTGCTCCGGCGACGAGGCGGGTGGCTCCGGCCACTATAGAGCAGGAATCACACTTGACGTGCTCCCCTACCTAGAGCGCCAGCTATCACTGGATCAAAACCACGGCAAGCATTGTTGTTCGTATTAGTGTCAGAATACATGTCTCTAGTGTCTTGGGTGGACTCAAGAACATGAGAATCAATAGAGGGGACACAATGGTTTATCCTGGTTCGGTCTCTCGGGTCCCTACATCTAGCAGCTGATGATCCTTATACTCAATAGCACCCAAAATCTGGGGGTTACAACAGAGTGTAAGAGAGAGATTTGTAGGGGATCGCTTGGTGCTGATCCTAGGGAAGCCTCACCGCCGGTGGAGCCTTCCCCCTCGCCGAAGAGGAGGAACACGATCGGAGGAAGGGGACGGAGCTCTCGGTGCCCCTCTCTAGGTGGATTTGCTCTTGGTGCAGAGCACGAACTGGTTTGCTGAGGAATCCAACGATCTGTCTCTGGATCATCTGGAATTGTGTTCTGGAATCGTCCACTGGAATCGTCCTCTCCCATCTTAGGATCCGACCTCCCCTTACATATCAAGGTAGGTCGGGTACATGACGGTTTGTGAGAGTTTAGCCTATGGTCTACATGCGCCGGAGTCCAGGAGGGTCTAGCCGTGGCGTCATGTGGACCGTGGCAATGTCGTTGAGCCGATGAAGCCCTGGGCATCGTCCGGCTACTCTGTTCTGACACGTTGAATGTCAAGCTGTGTCAGCTTGGATCGATCTTCACAAGGTGCGCCTTCTGGAGGCTTCTTGGTGGCGAAGACAGCCGACTTGGGGGGCTGACGCATGAGCCCGGAAGGCTTGGAGCCCCCGAGGCTAGTGGAGGAGTTTGGCTTCTTGCGTCACGCCCAGTGCGTGACCCTTTCGGAGGAGCGGTTGACAGCGCCACGCCCGCGGGACAGTGCCGGGGAGCCCCCGGGCCTTGGTGGCTCTAGGGGGTTGCCTCGAGCCTGGGCCTTTGCTAGAACCGAAGGCCTGGAAGGAGCTAAGGATCGGGTCCATGCTCCCTTCGATCGGGAGCCTGGGGCTCGGGCAAGCCCCCGAGTCCCAAGCAGAGGCTCCGAGCGTGCTCGGGCTCGGCCCAATGCCTTAGCCAGAGGGTGCGCGCAAGCGCACCCAATGGGTGTAGCCCCCGAGCGATCCGGGAGGGGTCGGTCGTGGGATTTCTCGGTCGGGAACCCTTGATCCTGAGGCTTAACATATCTCTATGTTTGGATTTCGTCAATAAGTAACCTCTAAATATAACGTTTGTCTAAATTATCCACCTATGCCATTACAAACCATAATGTAAAGTAGTCCAAAATTTACAACTAAATTACTTAGTCTACCATTTCTTATAAAACAAAACGAAGACCCTAAGTTTGCATATAAATGAATATTTGAATGCATCAAGTGCGTCCTAGTAGATAATGCCCATATTTCGACTTTCTGACTATCCTAGTCGTCCTATTGCTAATAGACCATTTAAAGTCCGATTCCTGTAGCCACAAGAAAACATTTTTTTTGCAGGGAAAGCCACTACAAAACTTTCTGTAGTATAGTCCTGTTTCCCGAATGAGAACATTTAAAGCCCAATTGCAATGCACGGATTCCATATGTTAGTCTTACGGGATTTTGCGCCCATTCATGCGGATTCCATTTGAAATCGGCCCTTTCCAAGCATAGTCTTGTGCATATTTTCGAATAAAGGACGGTACACTTCCAATACGTTGGCCAACCTACGCTTCATTGTTTTACCGTAGAAGCTTATTTGCTTAGAGAAGTACATAAGCAACCTGATAGTTGTTAGAAATAATTAAGAAGCTTTAAATTAAATGTTGGCAGGTAGATGGAATTGACCAACTGAAAACTATCGGGATGGAAATTCTTGAAAATTGTGATGGCTTACCACTTGCAATTAAAGTGATTGGAGGACTCTTGAGCACAAGATACCCAAGTGAGCATGAGTGGAAAGCTGTTCTGAACATGCCTGCATGGTCACTGACTGGACTGCCTCTAGAACTAGACAACCGGCTGTACTTGAGCTACGAGGATTTGTCTCCCCAATTAAAGCAGTGCCTTCTGTATTGCTCGATGTTCCCTAAAGGTGTAGCAATCTTACAAGCCGTAGTTACTGAAATGTGGATCAGTGAAGGACTTATTCAACCACCAGATAAAAGAAGTACCAGTTCACATGAGTATGGGTTGGAAGACATAGCAACTGAGTATTACCGAGAGTTAATAAAGAGGAATCTTATAGAACCTATGAAAGGATATTCTCTCACTGGATACAAGTGCACCATGCATGATGTGGTCAGATCCTTTGCTGAATATATGGTAAGAGAAGAATCAGTTGTGATGGTTGGCCAAGAGCAGGCTACTACCAGTGGTGGTGGGATGCTTGTACGTCGCCTATCTATAGGACAAACCGTATCAGTGGTGGAATGGGCTGTTTTGCAAAGGCACAAGTCACTTAGAACATTAATTGTAAACTCTAGGGTAAACTTTCATCCTGGTGATTCGGTGGGTAGTTTCTCCGGTCTACGTGTGCTGTACATAATGTCTGCCGATTCTGATACACTAGTTCCCTCTCTGTCTATGTTGAAGCTCTTGAGATACCTTCACTTGGAAGATACTGATATATCTAGGCTACCGGACGACATCCAGAAGATGAAATTCCTACTATACATTTCACTTGGTAATTGTAAGAGGCTATGCTATCTTCCTAGCAGCATCATAAAACTTGTGCATCTAAGATCTCTTAACATCGATGGATCAAATGTTAGTATCATTCCTAAGGGGTTCAGTGAGTTAACAAATCTGAGGTCACTGTCTGGTTTCCCAGTACACATGGACATGGATCCGAGTAGTAGCTGGTGCAGTTTGCAAGAGCTAGAGCCTCTCTCTCAGCTTATGAAGCTTACATTATATGGCCTAGAGAAGATGCAGGACAGCCGGATGGCTGAAAAGGCCATGATTAGCAGCAAGCGCCACCTTTGGTATCTAGTGTTGAACTATAGTGCAAGTGGACATACTATAGGGACATGCGGTGGTGAGGCAGAGCAGCAGCAACAACAGAGTGTGACCGAGGAAGTCTTGGAAAAGCTCTGCCCTCCAACCTGCCTAGAGAATCTTACTTTGAGAGGGGGATACGTTGGTCGCCAGCTACCAAACTGGATGTGTGCTCCAGCCTCGGCGGACTTTAAGAGCCTAAGGTATTTGAGGCTGGAGAACCTGCCTTGCTGCACCCAGCTCCCTGATGGTCTGTGCTGCCTCCCAAGTTTGGAATTGCTGATCATCAAAGATGCGCCAGCCATCAAGCATATTAGCCCTCAATTCCAAGCGTCATCCTCCATGGCAGCTAGAGGTTCCGATGGTAGTACATCTGCACCGTTTCCGAAACTGAGAAGACTAAATATGGTTGGGCTACGTGAGTGGGAGGAGTGGGAATGGAACGACTGTGAGGAGCATATGGATGTGGAAACTGCCATAGCCATGCCTTGTCTGGAGAGACTCCAAATCACAAACTGCAAGCTGAGCTGTCTTCCAGCAGGCCTCGCCAGCACCAAGAGGCATACTCTTAGAGAACTATGGCTGTACAAGCTCACCAACCTGACACATGTGGAGAACATCCCTTCAGTTGTGGAACTTGACGTGTTTGACTGCCCTGAGCTAAAGAAGATCAGCGGCCTCTCCATGTTGCAGAAGATTAGGATCGCTCGCTGCCCAAAGCTGGAGGTTCTAGAAGGTGTACCAGCACTCGACAGCCTCATACTGGAGGACCCCACCATGGACACGCTTCCAGAATACCTGCGAGCTGTAAACCCAAGGTATCTCGAGTTGGATTGCAACAAGAAACTATACGAATCCTCCTCATCTCCAGGTAGCTCCGAATGGGACAAGATCAGCCACATTGGAAGGCACAACATTGTCTGCCTCGAAGATGGGTTCAGGTAAATTGCATTCTTTCAATAGGCCGGAAGTGAGTTTTCATATTTATTAATTATTGCTTGTACTCTGATTCGTTGCAGGAAAAGCTTTCATTGGACCACACATAGAACAGCAGGGCATCAAAATATATGGTGATTAAACAAAGTGTTGCTACAGCCTGCCCGTCCGACGAGAGGGCATCTACAATTGTTAACAATCAATTGTCTTGGAACAAAAGAAAAACACAGTGCTTGTGTTCACCTTTACCCTGTTCAAGTCCGACCAAAGTATGTGTATTATCATCTATTATATTTGTAATTATATTTTTTCTCTCAAATTATTACGTATTTTCAAGTGTCATTATGCACTGGCCGTGTAACTAATGTATGCAGGCATCCAGGATCCTTATGGCAGACACATGATGTTAGCTTGCATTGGCAAGTGGGACTGAGATCTGCTTGGTAGAAGCTCGTCTCCAGCACACAGTACACATACTCTGTTCACATGCAGACAGTCGACATACTGCCAAATCATGGTTACGGATACCGTCTCCTGCACTCTTGTAGTCTTGACCATGTATATTTGTACACTCCATATATATTTTTTGAAGTAATGAACCTATATATATTTGCACAAGTAATGGGCCTGAAGTCGTGGATCTTGTAATGGACCGAATGTGTGGTGATGAAAGCAGCAGAACATGCAGCACGAACGTTGTATTCTGACCTGATTGATGATAATGAAATCAGGCATCCCAATAATTATTGTTGGTCGATCTTACACAGCCTCCTCAATGTAATGGCGATTATGGAGTTTTCCTCTCCTCTAATCTCGTGGCAACACCATATGTGTCCTCTGCTTCTGTCGCCTGCACTGCGCCAATATATGAAGGCCCTCTGCTTTGTGAGGGAGGCAGAGCAAATGGGCAGGACGAGCCTTCACTGTGTCTGCAAAGCTGTGACTCAGGAATATAATGGTTCATTCATACTTCTTTGGAAGGACGGGACAGGGGTTCATCGTATATATACATATACCATATGTCTGTGAAGAGAGGAAGGACGAAGTATAACAGAGCAGAGACAAAGCAGAGGAGAGCACAGCCACCCTGTCGTCGGTTGGTTGTTGGGCCCTGCACCAGAACACCTCTGTCGCTTGGGCTCTCAACCTGTACGAGGACATTACCAAGCTGGTATATATGTGCAGAACTTCCCTTCAGTTGTCGAGTTTGATGTGTCCCTCTACCCCAAGCCCAAGAGGACCAGTGGCCTCAGCAGATCGCACAAGATTAGTATCCTCCGCTGTCTAAATCTGCAGGTGCTTCAAGGTGTCCCCGCACTCGACATATGCAATCGATTGTCCCATGCTCAAAAGGATCAACAACCTCTCTAGGTTACAGAAAATCAGGATCATTGGTTGCCCAAATCAGAAAAGCAGGTGCTAAAACACATTGCTCGTCTTATTATGTATTTTGGATACAACCAACTTTATGTATGAAGGGATGGGATCCTGTACATTCCTTTCTGCCATTGGAGCGCGCGGGGCCAGGGATCATCATCTCTAGCTGGCAGATTTAATTTCAGTTTTCTACACTGTCACACAGAGGACAGTTGCAAAGACACGATCGACACCTAGTGCCAAATCATGAGAAGCCTAGAAGCCGGCCTCGACAGATGTCAGCTGGCCTCGACAGATCTACGCCAAACTTTTTATTTTTCCGGGCCACACAGGGACACAGCGGGGTGTCAGATAATATTAATATTATATGGTGAATTAGCAGAGTGTTGATATAACGAGCTGGAGAGGTGAGACTGCAGCACTAGTTGTATCCTTGCTTGCGCTCGTGTGTGTGTATTTCTCTATGAGTTGTACAACTAACGGAGATGTGAGGACTTGCGCACGTATAGTACGTACTAGTGTTGTGTGCATGATTTTGACCTATCGACAGGTTTTACTATAGAACATGTATGTTCCCATTCCTCCCTTGTTAATTAATGTAGTCTATTGATTGGGAACAAGTATATTATACATATCCATATGGCAAAAATCTATACACCCACAAGGCAAGCACTCCCCGCCTTAAATTTGTTCCACCTCCGCCCCTACATCCGCGGTCGTGAAAATCCTCACCAGCAAGGTGAGTGTCACCAGCTATGGCCTAGACCTCAAAGGTACGCTCCTCGTTGAGAACAAAAAAAAATTTGGTGGGGTGGAGTGGCCTCAGGACTAGATCCGGTTCTGAACACGCGGACAGCAGCCAAGACGAAGCAGCCCGGACCTGCCGTCCTTGTGTGGCGAGCGGCCTCACGGCGCAGCGGCGTGGACTGCGCGCGGCAGCGGCTGGCGGCTAGTGATCATGGCGACTAGCTTCTCAAGCTTGGATCCGGTGATTTGGTGCTCCAGCTCCTATCCTGGGCTAGTGGAGTTCAGATCCAATGCCTCCGGACTCAGATCCGATGCTTCCCGGCTGTTCGCATGTTATCACGGGCAGATCCGCGCGGGGTGTTGGGTTTGGGCGCGATGCGTCCAGCTTGAGGGCTGCGCGCCTCGGCGGTATTCGGGCGTGGCAACTTATGGTTGCGGTGGCCTGCAGGAGATCGTTGGCGCTAAGGCGCAAGAGTGGGGCTGCACTCCCGGCTTGGGACTGTTGCTGCTGTTCGCCTCCCACTATTGCGGGTGAGTCCGGGAACAACTCCGCGAGGTGCGGCGGCGGCCGACAACCCCCTCCATTCAGGTGTAGACGCCTGCTCGTGTGCGCCTCCCACCGTCGCGGGCAAGCCGATAGTGGCACCGTGCGGTGTAGCTGCGACCGAAATCTCCTTCCGTCCAAGGCCGGACGCTTGGCGGTGTGCACCTCCAACCGTTGTGGACAAGTCTGGGAATGGCTCCGCGAGGTGGCAGCGACCGACACGCCCTCCCTCCAGGTGTGGATGCTTGCCGGTGCGCGCCTCCTATCGTCGTGGGTCAGTCCAAAAATGGCTCTGCGAGGTGTGGCGGCATCCGGCAACTTCCTCTGTCCAGTCGTGGACGACTGTTGGTGCACGCCCCTCCCATCGTCACGGGCGAGTCCAACAACGACTGCGTGCAGTGTGACGCTTGGTTGTGCGCGTCTCCCACCATCGCGGATGAGTCCAGGAACGGCTACGTGAGGTGTGGCGGTGGTTGGCACCCCCATTAGTCAAGGCACAAACGCTTGCTGGTACGTGCCTCCCACCGTCGTGGGTGAGTCCAACAACGCCTCCGCGCGGTGTGGCGACGACCAGCACACCCCTCCGTCCAGGTGTGGACGCTTGCCGGTACATGCCTCCCTCCATCGCGGGTGAGTCAATGGGAGCACTGACGAAGGTTCTAGGCGAAAGCTCAGCTCAGAATAGTCTGGGCTAGCGACGGGGATGTCCTTGTTGAATGCATCACTGAAAAACTTGCTGCTCCGTTTCCATGGCCGGCCCATTCAACCCCTCGACACAAGGCTCGTGCGAAAGCCTTGCCAAGCTCCTGCGATAGGCTAGAAGAGGAATTTGGGAAAGGAAAACCAGAGCACGATAGGAGTGCTTAACAGAATTCAGTTATGGTTTACAATTTTCATAATCCTCTGTCCACTCTCTTCTCCCTTTAAGTACTCGGTAGTGCGGGGAAGCGATCGTCCGTCCGTCGGACACTCCATTGGTGGGTCGCGCTGCCAGCTCAAGACCCCCCGCTCCTCCATTTCTAAATAAAAAAATTCAGCCATCCACATACACATTTCTATCTGCTCACTTGCTCCTATCCGCTCGCCTGTCGCCTCTAGTGCTCGGCCGCTAGCCCAGCCAGGCGCAGCGCTCAATCGCCTCTGAGGTGCCGCGCTCGGCTGCCGGCCCTGCCAGGCGCGGCACACGGTCGTCTCTGAGTCGCGATGCTCGGCTGTTGGCCCTGGCGCAGTGCGTGGTTGCCTCTCCTAGCCATGCGGCCACTGCCTCCCCACCACTTCGTGCGGCCGATGCATCCCTTCTACGTCGTGCAGCCGCCGCCTACAAGCGTCACCATGCCGCTGGCTCCGGTGAACTCCACACACCGACGAGCCTCCATTCTTCCAAGCAGCAAGGAGATGTTGCGCTGAAAGCGCATGTTGCAAGCGTACGTTTCTGGTGTTTCAGAGGTATGTTGTAAGTGTTTCATATGAATGTTGCAAGAGTAGATCGGGACGTTGCACGTGTTGCAGTGGTGGTACACGTATGTTGCAAGCATCTGTTCAAAATGTCCCATCTGTTATTTCAGACGTACGCTGCAAGTGTGTTTCTTTGCATGTTGCATATGTTTCACGCATATGTTGCAAGTTTTATGTGGATGTTGCATATGTTTTGCAATGGATTTTTCAGGTGTTTTCATGTGTTTTTTCAAGTATTTCATTTTATCTTCAATGGCATGTTGCAAATGTTTCATTGGTAAGGACCCCATTTTCCTGGCTCACCCTTACTCTTCAGCCTTTTCACTCTTGGCCTACCCGCGGACCTTTCAAGCTTTGGAGGCAACATTTGAAGCCCAAGATCAACAATAGGCCACTGTGACTTGCCAACCATTGGGTTCACCTCAAACTGATAAGTAGCCTTGAAACGATGAACTGAGTAGTAGTCATGCACATAGTCGTCAAGTTTTATTTGTCTCAAGGAACCTATAAAGGCAATAACATGTGTGCATGGTTTACCAAAAATATGCCACTGCCCACATGAACATGTCTTGCTTTCAAGATCCACAGCATGCCTCCAAGGATAGTTGTCCTTAGTCAATCCAGATACCTTAGCCTTGAGACCACCACTCCCCATAATTGTGTACTTCTAGTTTCTACTCTTCATTTTTAGCTCATTTATAACACTAGGGAGAATGGACCCTTCAAGTTTGTTAGCTATATGCTGCCTCATAGCTATCTTTTCCATGATCATACCCCTAATTGTGTCCACGAGGACATCCACAGGGAACCCTTTGGTCTCTTTAATCCAGTTGTTGAAAGACTCTAATATGTTGTTATTCACATAATCAACTTTGCATTCCCCTGA